ATATATTTTATATATATTTTTTATATATTTTTATATATATTTAAAACCATATTTTTCGCGTATCTTTTTCATTTAAGAAAATTATTGCGTGATTAAATAAAGTTATATTTCTATCTTTTACATAAGGTAAACAAATTGTGTTCCACAAATATACTAACTTATCTATTTTCCAACTACTCGTTTAACGGTCAAAGAAACAAATAAAAATTTCGAACATTTACGTTTGCTTGTGAAAAGAGGAACTAATTAACGTATATAAATTTCATATATAAATTTTTTATATAAATAATTTTATATAGTTATGATATATAAACTTTCTCCATCATCTTTGAGAGAGTTTATCGCGTTTTTCTAAATTTTTTTTTAAATCGAAAATGAAAAATTAATATTCAAATCTATAAATTTAATTCGACTTTTGATGTCTCGGTTAGTCTTCATTTATCTAATTTGGATAATTGCCAATTATATAAATCTACTGTCGAAAAAATGAAAAAATGATAAGCAATATATCTATTTCGAAAGTATGAAAATAATATATATAAATAATAAATAATTTTTATAAATTACTCACCACATATCTCTCTGGCTGTTTCAGGCTCTGTCACTGCTCTCTGGCTATCCAATACTTTTCCAGATGTCCTTCTCCTTTCTTTTTCATTCTTTGCTGTTTCCTCGTAGCACTGATATTCACTCGCGAACAAACAATTAATTATATTTAACCATGAACAGAAACGATTGCAAGACACTTTGCATAGCACTCCCGATCGCGGAATAATTACGAGAAACGCACTTTAATATATCGTATCTCATGTTGTTGGCGCGATACTTTGACGACACTCCCGCACTCGCGAGCGATATTTTTATATCTCTATTTTCGTTATTTCTACGCGCGATACTGGACGGCACTCCCGCACTTCTTCGATGCAATTAAAAATTTTATATTTGATCGCGCGATGTATATACTTAATATGTATATACCTTTAACGGCACTCCCTAATATGTATATACCTAACGCGACGTGTTCACGAAACGCTTGCCGTCCGCGGCACGTTGACGGCACCGACGAAAGGGTTCTTAGCTTCCCATTCAAGCACCTTAAGATTTATCATAAATTGAAAAATTTAAGATAAATCTTAAGGCACCATCCAGGTACTAAGCCCTCCCACCGCGACAAGGTGTACCCCATGGGAGGGTTATATTATATTATATATAATTTTATATATAATATAATATATAATTAATTTTGTAATATACTATATAAATTTTAATTCGCAAATATAAACGATAAATAAAAATATAAAAGATAAGAGAAAATCTATTATATAAAGCAATGTTCAAAATAATTGTTAGAGAAAGAATTTAATAATATATGGAACGTCTCACATCACTACCTCACTGTTCGAATTGGCCATTGAGGGAATGATCGTAGGTCAGAAACATTACCGCAATACTGTTTATATCGCCAAGGCCGACTTATATTATGTTATTGTTATAATTCGTCGTTGAAATATTCTATGAATGATTGCCGATTAAGAAAATTTAAAACATTGGTCGAAATTTATTTAATTCTAATAAGTATAAGTTAGATAAATTATTATAATAAGCAGCAATAATCGAAAGATCATAATAAAATTAATTTCTTTATCCCTTTTTATATTCCCTTTTTCAATTTTTATTCGCAGTAATTAATGATTGCGGTTCGATAAAGATTTATCGTTGCGATACATTTTCATGACGTTTATCATAAGTTAATTTATTTTTAATTATTAGTAATTATATCAAATTATGTTTTGATACTAATCGTAATCGTGTTTAGAAAAAAAATTCGACAATATGCGAAGCGTTTCGCATCACTACTTTATCGCTCAAGTGTCACCATGCGAATGATAATAAAGCCGTAACATATTTAACAATAGCGCGCTATTGTTTATATTGCCAAAGTCGAATGCCATGTCGATAATTCGTTGCCAAAATATTTTATAAATTATAAAATATACATTAACATGGAATATTAAATTATGGAAGTATTTTAATTTATTGATTAAAATTGATTATTTATTAAATAATTTATCACGGATCTAATTATTTGAATTTATTCGATTATTTTACCGCGCTCTTCCGAAGTCAAATTCTATAATATTTAGTTTTGCTTTTAGTTATATTTTAAAAGATTGACTTATAGCGAGCTAAATAAATAAATAAATAAATGATGTTGAAAAGAAAAAGAAGACACATAAATAAATAAATAAATAATAGTGTGGAAAGAGAGAACATACTAATATTTTTATATAATAAATTATTATTAATTAAATTATTTATATTTTTATTTATATTATTTATATTAGCAGAGAGACATATATGTTACCTTTTGAGAACATTCGTGGACGTTGACTTTGTAATTCATGTTCACGTTTTTAATGTCCACAGAGGGAGTATCGCTTCCAGGGATCAGCTAAAAGCGGGCCATGACATCTCAGTCTTCTCTCTGTATGTACTCATATAATACGTAATACGTCATCGAAGTCGAAAATAATATCCAGTGCTACATTTTTATAATTTATTTAATTGCAATAAACACTACATTTTTCTATTAATAATTTATATAATATTTAAAAAGTGTAGCGCTCTTTCCATTTAAATTATTAATAAAATAATGTAATTATTTCTTTCATTTACATCTTTTTTCGCGTGTTTTTCGCATATCAATCGAATACTGCATAAAATTATATAACATAATAAATCTTAATTAAATTATTGTTCTTAGAGATTTTCGAAAATGTCTTAATATGCTAATAATAATAAATTTAATGTAAAATAATTTAAAATAATTTAATTCATATTTATATTTTTATTTTTCATGATTTATATTTATTCCATAATTTATATCTTATACTTTTATTTTTTATATTTTAAATTAATATGTTAATAGAGAGGATTATTTTACATAAAAATAATTTCTGAAACTTTACGAACTTCATGTTTTATCATGTCAATATCGATAAATATTTATTTTAACCGCAAATATAAAGCAATGTAAAAGGTGAATGAGGAAGCAATCTGCTCGACGTTCCTATAAACGTAGCAATACACCTATTTAATCACAGGTGAGACCACGAAGATAGCGGGACCATATTACCAAACAATAGAAGTGCCATTTTATATGCTACTATTTGCGTTTTTATTTTGCATGCAGTGGGATCTAAATGCTTTGTGTTGATTATAGTTGTTTCATTAGTAAAATAAAATATTGCGATTTTGTCGAAAGATCTCAAGCATTTCAATTTAATCTAATGATGTAAATTTTGTGTATATGATGTAAATTATACAAATGCGTATGCACACACTTCTATAAGTTTATTAAAGTAAAATATGTGTCGCATGTACACGCATATATATATCAATTATTTAATGAAAATAATATAAATATGAAAATGTATGCATCTTGATTTCTGAATTTTCAATGAGATTCAATAATTTTAAATATTTTTATTTTTTGATAAATTAATATATCCTTTTAAAAATACATATGTGGTTTACTTAATAAATGCGGTTTAGTTAATAATAAAACGAGTCCCAAACTCCCCCTGCCTTCATCTCGAAAACCTGATATTTTGAGATATGATTTATTTTTTAAATTAACATAGTACATTCATTTTATCGTTATTTATTGTAACATTCTTGAAATACGTAGCACATTTGTTTTATTATATTTATTTTACTATATTTCTTTCAAGCAAAATGTCTATTGCGATGTTTTATGAGAATTTCAATCCACAGACGACATATCGTTCTATCCAATTATCTCCATTCTATATGTAGACAAGAGAGAAAGATCAAAAGGAGATATTTTATTAATTAAATAAAAGTCAACATCATATAATTTTCAGCGCAACGTAATCGCCGCATTTAATAAAGCTATGTCCTTTTCATATCAGAAACTTCAGAAACTTGGTGTTTAATGTCACCGTCTCGTTCCAATATATACACTTGCTAGACATCAATCACTTGGAAATTGCTTGCTGCAAACAATCAACATTTTAGCAACACATATGTACACACATATTCATATATACTTCAGATAAAGGATTTTCAACCATTATTGACATAGAAATCTTAAATACTGAAAAATATATTCTCTCTCAAGTGTGATTTTTAAGAGATATTTGAAAAACAGTGTCCAACTTTATTTTACTATGTTTTATATATATATATATGTATTTTGTTTTATTATATAATTCTTCTAATATTATATAATATAAAATAATATAAAAATTTCAGAAAAAAGTTTTATTTGCTTCAAGAATAATATAAAAGAAAAGTGCGCATATCACTTGCTGTTGAAATAATTCTTCCTTGAGAACTCGATTAAAATATAAATAAAATATAAAATATAAATATATCTCTTCATATCCACAATATTCCCAAGAATGTATATTTATATTATGAAACATTTTTTCTATATTCGTATATTTAGTTAGATGAGAATTATTTGCGGTACTATAAATATCTAGAGTGTAAACTATGAAATTGTTTATGCATTAATATGCATAAACGTGTGCAAATGTCAGTGAAAAACATATTCTTGAAGATAAAAAGAAAGTTATATTTTTGAATAAACAAAACAACATAAATTTGTAAATTATTGTTTACATTTTACATGTTGGATGTTTCAGAATATAAGAAGACAGAGGCACAGAGTTCGTTATTTGATATTTAATGTTTAATTCTTTTATTATATTTTTCATATATTTTAAAATTTTTAAAGTAATAATAACAAGATCTTTTTAAATTCATTTCCCTTGATAACGTTTTTACATAATTAGGCGATACAATAAACATTATATATATATATATATATATATATATATATATATATATATTTATCGATTATTGAGATATTAACATTATTTTTATAGGCAAAAGGATAATAAATCCTTTCCGTTTTCCTTTTTAAAAAAGAAAAATATAAAAGATTTTATTAATATCAATATCTCGTACAATTAACTTTCTATTTACATTATTTGTTGATGACAATCTGATATAAATTAACGTAAATGAATAAATAAATAAATAAATAAATAGATAATGACTTAGTGACAAATATCACGATCGATGATCATATTATCGGATTATATATCGGTGACTCTTTTCTTAAAATCTTGATTTACAATTAGAATAACGAAAATTTTTAGAATAAGTGTAAAGAGAAATATTGTAAAGAGGCACAAAACTTCCCTCTTTTAAATTCATCATGAATGTTTATAATATCTGTAGGCGTATCGTTTTAATTCCTCTTTCTTAGAATTTCTCACAATTTTTTTCAAGCTTGCATACTTTGTATTAAATGCAAATAATACGAAAATGTATCTAAAAAGAATGGATCTTATCTATAAATTTTTTCTATTGAAATAATCCAATTATTAAGGTGCTTTTTTTTAATCGCTCGAAATGAGAGATGCACCGTGTCCATAAGTGATACTCGTAAAGCTGATCTTAGATTATTAATTATGATTATCCATATTAATAATGATTAATAAATTTCGAGAAACTATCTCTCTCTGTATTGAAATGGCATTAGATTTAGTATACAATTAATGTTTTAATTTGTAATAATTATAATTTACGCATAGATCAAATCTGATCGACTGATTATTTAAGGACATTTGCGATTGACAATCCATATCTGAATTGTAAGTGATCACATTTCGTTGCGTGGTTTTTTTCTGTATCTTCTAATGTATGTATTTTAATATTTTTGTATAAAAATTAATTTCAATTTAATCATAAATTATCCTAATTTTGAGCAATTAAAGATTTGCCTCTAAAAAGTGACTTTTGATGTATCGTGATTTTAAAGATATATTTGTAATAAATATTTATGAGCAAAATATATTCTTTAAACTTCTGTGCATTTAATGAAGCTAATAATTTGCGCAAAGTAGCTAATTTCGCTTTGAAAACAAAATTTGTAATCTTGAAAACGAATTTCGCAAATTTATCGTTTATTATCGTTTTCGATTCGGTTCGAAAATAACAAAAGAATTATATATACAATTAAATATATAATTAAATTCTTGGAGATTGTATATCAAACGTGATTATTTGTGAAATTCGTGATTTGGCGAGTATAATTATATACAAATTATCGGATATATCCCGTTTGAAATTACTATCAAAATTCCTGTATATTTCGATAAGACTATCTTTGAGTCTGTTTTTTACTCGCCAGTTTTTGTAATCGTGCCTTTAACCCGTGAGGATTTAATTTAACTCTCACGACATCGGATTTATTTTCAAGTTTCTTGCGAGCTTCTTCCATCCGTTCCTTTCGTATTCGCTGCTGTTCCTTTTTCCAGATATCCTGTAAAACCCGATCTGTCATAATTGACTTACTCGTGTATTTCACAAACGCTGCAAAATATACCTTGAAATCCCGACAGAAAGTAAGCCATAGGTTGAAGAAATCGTAAGGTTCCGCGGTTTCCATTGTGGCGCCTTTGGGAACGAACTGATAAAATCGCATTACGGCCTTAAATCTGTTTTTAGCCTCGAGTAACTCTTCTTTTTCGTTTGCCAGTTCGATATTCGCCCTCGCCACAAACGAATCCACTTTCTTCTTGAATACCTTGGATGTAGTTGGATCCTCTTCCACGACAGTGTTACACTTTTTCGCGCATGCTAACAAATTCAAACAAATTAATTTCACTTATATCAGAATATTTTTACATATATATTATGTAACTGTACGAAATATAGAATCGTATCAAGACATACATTTTTTTATCGAGATGTAGATAACGTATATATATATATATATATTATATATATATATATATATTTTATGTTAAAATTTTTAAGTGACGTTATTATGCCACATATTTGATATTTTAAATTAATATCACTTACTCTGTAATTCCTTTTCCAATCTGTCAAGTTCCTTGGCAATATCATCAAACTTGATCGTAGATGCGGCCTCGACGTCTGCAGGTTCAGGGACGGGTAGAGGTAATGGCTCGTCAAAGCTGTGTCCTTTATCCTGAGATAGTTTTGCATTGACAACATAGTGCAACAAGGTGATCCCGGGTACGTTTGACTTTACGTCTTTCAGTTTGCCAAGGATCTCCAGACCGAAGCCATCTGCCTGACCGCGCATCATGTTACCACCGTTCATATAATTACCCAAAGTCAGTATGATGGCTATGACTTTCCTCAAAGACTCGGACTGCATCAAAAAATCGCAGGTAGTTCGTACGTTGTTTAATTTATACGAGACCGATGAGATCGCGTCTTGGAACTCCGACTGAAGCATCAAGCAAGTTATCCTTTCGGAGAAGTGCTTTATACCGGATAACCGTTTGAGAAATAATTCCGGTTGATCGATAGGAATATCCGGATACTCTGCTTCGTGAGCAGTGATCTCTGCTATCTCCTTTTCTGTAGGTTTCTACAAATTAAGAAACGTCAAGATAGATGCTTGTAGATTTTGAATAGAAATTAAGGCTGTTTTGTACCTATTTTCAAAATATTGAGAATTTAAAAATTGTAAAGAATGTCCTTACATATGTTTAGAATCTTCAGTACAATTGTTAAATTGATTCACTGAAGCGTTCACAAGTTATAAGGATTTTAATTTGCATCGAATTAACATTGTGTTCTTATAAAACGTATAACCACGTCGATTCAAATGACAAAAACACATGGAAATATTCAGAATTTGTTGAAAATTTGCAAAAGTTTAGATACAGAGGAAATTTGGTCAAATAATATTATACTAACTGATTAAAACGATATTAAATATAATTCAATGAAGTTAGCCATGTATCTGTCACAAGGCGAAATTTTCTGCCAAAAATTAATTATTTCGATTAACAAAATTCGGAATATTTCAGTAAAAACGCAATAAATATTAAAAAATACATCTCTGCACTGTAGCTAAGATCAAATTATAATATTCCACACAATTTCTTACTCAAAATACATCAAAAGTGGATATATTCGTCAATATTAATTTTCAGCTACTTTTTGCTGGGATTGTACATACAAAACATCCTTAATTGTGTTAAGAAAAGAAAAAAAAATTAACTATATATGCTGAATAGATAGATTTTTTTTAGATTTTTAATCATACTGTTTACTCACGATTTCGTAGATCTGTTGCAGCGTTTCCAAGCTGATTACACTCGTGTCTAAATTATAAGCCGCGTTCTCGATCTCGCTGAAATCAATATGCAGACTCTTTTCAAGAATTCCCACCATTTTGGAACGTTTCGAGTCCAATATCTTTGCTGGTTGGATCTTAGAGCCTTTATTGGAAGTCTCCTCGCTCTTTTTGGCCGGATTCTTTTGTCTCACCTGCCGCGAAAATAAATCGGCAAACTCATTCATATTTATACTTTTTTCCTCCGCAAGTTCTAACCACAAAGGCACCTAGATGAGACAATATAAAATCAATCACGCATTCAAATAACTATTTACATCAACTCTGTAAATTTTATCACGTAGTCTCTGTCTTTCATCTACCTGAGTTGGCGATTCTGAAGCAGCGGAAGTTTGACTAGTCGCAGTAACTGGTACTAAAATTCTTGTCCAGTAGAGTGGCTTCATAGGCACATTAGGGTTCAAAGGTTGTTTTCTCATAACTATAAAGGTAAAACACTGTGTTACGCGGTGCAAATATCGGAATCCCTCGACGGGAAGATTGTACCGTATACTCTCGATTCTTTCGATTATTTCTTGATCTTAACGAGAAGAAGAGAGTCGAGAGTACACTGTACTTTTGTAATTTCGACACCTACTTGCTCTGCTAGGCGGATTCCACCCTCCGACTGGTGGAGCGGGTAAAGGACAGGGTGCTGTCATCCCCGGAGGGGGCGGTGGCGCCATGGGCGGCGGTAACGGGGGACCTGCACCTGATCCCCCGATCGGAGGTGGCGGCGGGGGAGGTATACCGTTTAGCATTGGCATCCCTGACAGCGGTGGAGGCGGTGGAGGCGGTGGACCACTCGCAGAACCTTGCGCTCCAATTACCCCGCACGTGTTCAGCATCGGGGTGGGCGGCGGCGGCGGAGGAGGAGGTATCCCGCTCAGGGTGCTCTTCATAAATGCGGAGATTTCACCCTGAGGAGGCGGCGGTGGCGGCGGGGGAGGTATACCACTCTCGAGTCTCTGCACTGGCATGGACGGAGGCGCGGGCGGAGGCGGCGGCGGAGGCACCGCGTTCTGCAGAGGAGACGGCGGGGATATCGCACTTATGATAGTTTGCATAGGTGGCGGCGGAGGGGGAGGTATAGTGCTCGTCGTGCTCGACATCGGCGTAGGCGGGGGCGGAGGTGGCGGAGGAGGTGGTGGTGGAAATGTACTTATGATACTCTGCGACGGCATGGGCGGAGGCGGCGGTGACGGTATCCTTGAAATATCCGTCAGTTTCATCACCGATGTCGGGACCGTCCTCTCGCTACCTCGCACCGACTCGGTCGCGAGCGCGTACGGAGACGGCGGAGGCGGAGGTGGCGGGATGAAGGATTGCAACGACGTCGTTGATACCGAGATGGATGTGGATCTGCTCTTGCAAAATGACTCGGGTAATGGAGGTGGCGACGGTACCGGATATAGCGCCAAGTCTTCATTCGACGCGTTCACCTGACGCGATAAGCACGACGGATTGGCGACCTTGTCGGTCGATGCAGCGGAGTGCACGCGAGTCGCCTTGGCTTCCTCGAGATCCGAATTCCTGATCAGTGATTCTCTGCTCGAGTTATTTGTTTTTTCAGCGCCTTCATCGACAGGTGACGAGCTTCTCGGCGACGTCTGAGTAGACTGGCCTTTAGTTCTTGTCTGTCGATTTATTGATATCTCACGGCGCAATCGTTTGATCTCATCTCTCAGTCTCTTCACCTCTTCCTCATATCTATGTATATCTTCAGACATGGATCGCTCACTGTACGTTTGGCTCGATTTACTTTGAACTGAAAGAAACTCATCCGCCAGCACGCAGGTATCTGTCCGATCTATCTGCTTCAAACGGAATGTTATAAAAATAAATACTCACGATGGATTAATCATTATCAATTTAATAAACAGATCAAGATTTTACCACGGGCGTCATAGCTTTCTTCACACCTTTGTCTGGTAATGCGGAGACCTTGGATGACGGTGAAGATTCTTGTTCTGGAAAACCCATTATTATTATTATGATTATTATAAGATAGTTTGTTTTTATTGCACAAAAAACTGAGTAAATATTGTTTTTGACCTCTTCACATCGTTTGGCAAATTTTAAAAGCTTTCGAATGAGCAACTGTTTTGTCTCAAGTTAAATCTTATTCGTAAGGTTAATGACACTGGTTCCTCTAGGAACACACAATCAATCCTAATTAATAATGCATGTTCTGGGAACAAGGCAACTCTTTATCATTGTATACTCTCTTATCTCGTTTTATCTCTAGCTCAACAGAGACGAGGAATCCTTCTAGCTGTATCTTATCTCCTAATCATTTCATCATTAATGAGGCTTCTAAGAGAATATTATGTAAAAATAGTAAATACATAAATAAAAATATGCGAAATGTATCCAAAATTCTGAATTTTTCTGCAATCATCACTGAAGCAGTAGCAGTGTCTACCTACTTCTCGGAGAAGATTGTCGGTTCCTCGATTATATACGATCGTTTAAAAAAATTTTCGATCCTCCTTCACCGACCCACGTTTCGAAAACGCTTATTCATTTCATCCTCGCAATCACTATTCGCTATTGGACACCTCCTCATCTCGTCACGCTTGTCCCGGACGTGTATTTCACTCTATGCTGCTCCGTAAAGAACTGCTACATCTCCTTGACAGGCGAACACATGGGAGAGCGGAAGCATAAATCCCAGAGCCTAACCCCGCATACGCCCCATCGATAAGACTTATCGGCAAACAAGCACATTTGATTCATACATATCATTCGCTTTAACCTCGGCTACGCCGATGCGGTGATATGATGATTATTTTTGGCTGATTGAAAGCATTTTTAATCGCGATAGCGCCGCACCGATGAAAGGCGCCGATTGTCTTTTCGGCGTCATCATCTGCTATCTGCTGGCCTCGCGATACTTTGCGATTTCTTGAGCGTCTCGTAAATTATGTCATTGCAATAGAGAGCAAAAAACCACAGCCGTGTGTTTACCCTCTGTAACGTTATCGCGCGCCTTTTTCTCTGTCATGAGATAAGATTCGCATTAAACTCGCGATCGTTCGAGAGCGATAGATTCTAGGTCGTGCGCTGACCCACGCGTAGCTATAAAAGTGTTTTGTATCGCGACGAAATCATCGTTGTGCCCTGGATTTGTGAATCAGAAGAAAAATCTAAATCTTGAAAAATTCTTTTTGAAAAATCTCCTCATCGTTTTTTCGCTTGAAAAGATCGATGAAATTTCCGTTGCTCCTCTAATTATTTTTGTCTCACCTTCGAATAGCTTGCAACGATCCGTCTTTTGAGTGACGACACTCCGAGAACTCCTCTTCTTCTTAGCGCTATTACGGCCCAGGGTCAAGCTGGCTACTCTTCTCAGAACCGTACCTTCGTTCGTCGACGACTCGTAGACACTGTGTCGTCTCTGCAGAGTACTGGCATTCATTTCTGGTGTTGTCTTCTCGCTCGTTACGCCTGAAAATGATAGGCTCGTTTAAGAGTTATCGAGTGTCGGAGACGCATAAGCTATGTTGACTTAGGTCCAACACACTAGACTCTCTAGGCTCTTCTTAAACAATATTACTTGTACAAGTTATCTACTTATCTATTTCAATGTACTTTGCCTACACAGAATCCTCAAGCTTACGTAAGTCGTCAAGCTGTCACTTATTTAACTTTTTAAAAGCTGATTAATCACTCATTGCCAGCAAAATTGTGTAAGAAGATGAGAGTAATGCATATTAAATTCCAAGATTGATAAAGTATTCCTCACTTATTCTGGGACTCATTATTGACAAGTGGATCTTCTTGTGTCTCGAGACTGCAAACGGAGTCTTCTTCTCCTCCTTGCTCGTCTCCTCGATCGTCTTCGATTCAAGCATCGATTTCTCCACTTGAACCTCCGTGGACGTCGCGACTGGACTCGTGGTAAGCTCCCCGGGATCGGTGAAGACACTGTCGCTCGAGGACTCCTGGCTGGGTGGTGTCGGCATTTCCGTAACGACTAGGCCCTTGTTCGCCAAACGCCAGGAATCGGTTACTAGCAACGGTGGTAGCTGGGCCTGAGGCGTCGTCGGGGTTTGCGCGGGTGTCGTCGTCGTCGACGTTGTGATACTCGGATGAACAGGCTCCGTCGTTGTCACGCATGGCTTCGGCGTTATTGCGGTATCCTTGCGACATTCGGGCTCTACACTTTCTTGCGTGTCCTAATTACAAGACGACTCTATATTTATAATCGTAGCACGTACGTACAATATGATTTCAAATCAAGATAAGCGTTGGAAATTACTTTTCTTGCTTTTCAATTGAAGGTAATATTCAGTTTTCACACGTTGCGAATACAATCAAACGAATTATATATATTTATTAAATTATAATTATAATTATAATTATAATTATATATATATTTTATTTTACTAATGTGTCTTTCATTTTCTTAAGCACAACGCAATCTCAAATTACGCGTAATATCACCGAAAAGATTTCTCTAATCAATAGTTGCGTACTCAAACGTGAGAGAAAAACGCTACCATCTACCTTGGATAACAAAATCTTGGGTGGCTGCGGTGCCGGTCTCTTGGCGTGTCCCGGCGTCTGGACCTTATCGAAGCTGATCTTGATCGGTTCGCGCGGCTCGTCGCACTCATCGGGAGTCTTTGGCGGTTGGTCCCGTTTATCCTTCCTCTGGTCCTCGACGGTCTCGAGCTCCCCCGTGGACGTGGACGCCGGCACCGCCGCGGTCTCTCGCTTCCTCTGCTTCTTCTTGCTGTCGCTCTGCAGATTGCCCATCGCGTCGGGTAATTGCGGGGCCAGATCGTCAAAGTTGCCCCAGTAGAGCAGCCGGATGTTGTTGACCCAGAGATGGAAGAAGTCCGACAGCTTTGATCGCGGCGACCGCGCCTGGGCCGCGGCTGCGCCTTGACCATGACGGGCGTGCATCCGTGGTCGATAATCGAGAGTTGCAGTATCTGCGATCACGGCGTCGTCGTCGTCGTCGTCGTCGTCCTCGTCGCCTCGACACCCTCGTCGCATGCTGGTCGCTGCGAAATACAAACACGGTGCCGAGTCATCACCTCAGCTCGTCATTCCAATCAACTCGACGACTCGATTAATTCAATCGAATATTTCGAGTCACTCGCATCAACATTAGCACTCTGATTAACTCAATTATATTGTCTACGTTTGTGCTGCCGATGGAATCGCTTCTATAAATGTTGGATAAGGTTGATTGGAATTTAATTAGTAAAGTGGAAAACCAAGGGTGTAATTGTGATTAATGATTATTAATCCAGATTATTTAAGAGTTTACTGTTTTATTTAAATTTAAATTTGTTTAAGGATGTTTTGTATCAATTTTCACAATATTGAGAACTTAATGAAAATTGTACGGAATGTCCTTACATATGTTTAGAATCTTCAGTACAATTTTTAAATCGATTCTCACAAGTTATAAGGGTTTTAATTTGCACCGAATTAACATGTGTTCTTATGGGAAACGTATGACCACGTCGATTCAAATGATAAAAACACATGGAAATAATATTCAGAATTTGTTTAAAATTTGCAAAAGTTTAGATACAGAAAAAATATTTGGTCAAATAATATTATACAAGTACTAACTGGTTAAAAAGATATTAAATATAATTTATTCAATGAAGTTAGCCATGTATCTGTCACAAGGCGAAATTCTCCGCCAAAAGTTAATCATTTCGATTAACAAAATTCGGAATATTTCAGTAAAAACGCAATAAATATTAAAAAATACATCTCTGCATATTCCACACAATTTCTTATTCAAAATACACGAAAAGTGGATATTCGTCAATATTGATTTTCAGCTACCTTTTGCTGGGATTGTACATACAAAACATCCTTAAATCAAAATTCAAAATTAGACATTGTATCTTGGTTATTTAAATTGTATTCACACCGCGAAAGGATATGAAGAAAAAAATATAAATAGATACCAGAATATAATTGATTATGAATTACCTCGATAACTGATTAACTCGAGATTTCTCAGATATCGTTACGTAATCGGATATTGACAATTCCAATATTAATAACCTTATATCACACGGTAACTAAACAATGCTATCGCCTGAACACTGATTGAAGATTTCCATATACCGGAACATCGATTTGTTATTATTAGGACACGTTGGTGTCATTGACGACTATTATTATCTCGAGTCCAAGGCTGCTCGCGTAATTTTTCCATGGGAGGAAAAAATAAAAGTAAAAATTTTCGCACGTGGAAATGTCACGATAGTTTGTTTCTCTTCTAGAAACAATAAGTTTCGATTGCATGGAATTATTAATGTAGTATTTTTAAAATAAATAAAAAATCAAAGAGACGTAAAATTTATAACTATACGTGTAACATATTCACTTCAACGAGATCAAATATTTAAAAGCGAATATTACAAGCACTTTAAACTATATCGGATTAAACAAAAAAAATGTATTGCTTACGTTTCAATACGTACAAACATATGATACATAGACAAAGTTTGAACTATAGGACACGGCTAGATTCCAGACATTCGTAACGTTCATAACAAGCGCGAAGAAACGAATGGTCATGAATATTTGAAACAAATTTTTAACACAACACGATAACACATCGAAAATGCGTCGTAAAATGGTATACACGAGATTCAGATTATAATTGACATAATAACGGTATATCGCCGATATTTTCTTTAATACGGCATTTATCATGGTTGACAAATATGATGTTGTTGTCTCTATGGCACATTTTTCTCTCAATTATTCATTGTTACTGTATATCCCGAAATTACACTTGTCTTTCATCTGAATCGAGTCACATACTATACATCACCTCGGTATAAATAAATAACAGATTACTGGCACAATTTTCCTTTTCACATAAAATGCACGTAATGCTTTTTATAATAATTTTAATTTTAATTATGCGGTCTCACAGGTATCTAATGTTCCACGTGGTGACACCGGCGTCGGTCACGCGACTAGAAAGCCGGTGCCTGTTCGCGTCGTTACCTTTCATTGTGCCTCGGAAAATCAATCTTGAGGGATACGTCAAGGGCAAACATCAATACAGACGTGTACCTCGATATAGTAAACTTATAAACAATTCTTCTTGTCAAAAGTTCTTATGTATTGCCTTTATCAAACAAGAATTAAAAGTATTGGACTTTAACACATTTATTGGAAAAATAATTTTTGTGGATAAGAACTTTATGGATTGTTTAATCATCTCACAATATTTATTATATATTATAAACATTGTGATTTTTTTATTCTATACTTGTAAAATATAAGAATTTGATTATTGTATGCACACGACAAATTTAAATAATATGAATAAATAACATATATATATTTCTAGGAAAAAACGAGAAAGAGATATTTAACAATCACAAACTTTATCTATTATTATTTATCTGACAAATCTGATAGATATTCGTAAAGATAATTTTTTTTGATCCTATCGTAAAATCCTAATTTAAAATATCTCATAATATTATTATAATTTACTATAAAAATTATAATTTGTTAAATTTTATTCTACACCTATCAAAGCAAAATATAAGAATTTGATCATTGTACGCATACAAAACATGTAAATAATATTTGCATAGATAACAAATATATTTCTCGAAGAGAAAGGGAGGGGGATATTCCACAATCGAGTCTTATCTATACTATTACTTATTAATGCCCGATAATTGCTCTCGATTTGACTAAGGAAGGCTCGATGCGTTACGACGTAACAGTATTACGATCATAATAAATTGGAATCACCGTCAGAATGTTGAAGAGATTACATGTTCATCAGGATCGTGCACCTCGAGTGTCTGCTATTTCGTAACACGTCGGAAACGTACCGTGTAATTGACGTGATGCAGAAAAGCATTGCCCCTCGCGAGCGCACTCCTAACGAGGCTCTCTTACCTGATTCTCTCGCATTTCGACAGCAAAGCCAACATGTTACACGTTACATCGTGCGGTTCGCGCGTGCCACCAGAAGCTCGTGTCTCGCCTATTATCGATTGTTCCCGGCGATATAGCCGTCCGCGCATTTTTCACCGGCCGTTCGCGTCACGAGCGTAAAATATCACCACGGTTTCCGTAAGGAAAACACGAATATCGCGCACGGTAAAAAGCCTCGAGCGTTTTATCGAACATGTAAGTGGGAGAAAGCCGCCCGACACGGCGCAAACTCGCGCCATCGAATACGCCAGGTCGATATCTCGATGTCGAGGTCGACTAGAGTTCGGGGTCATCTCTCGATAGTTTGCTCCGCTTTTGATATAAATCGCACGCGGGACTCCACAAATCTCAATCGTCGATTTCGAGAGAGATAATCGAGAGAGCGATATATTGCATGTTAATTCATTCATATTCATATTCATATTCATATTTATTTTTATTTATAAACATTCTTTGACTTGAATTTTTTTTTTTTTCAAAAGTTAATCTCGTTGCTTTATTTAATCATCTTCTTTAGTATATTTTCTCTTATTCGCGTCTGACATATTTTTCTAAATTTTTTATGTAATAAAGAGATTTTCTTTCTCATTTTTTATTTCTAATAAAAAAGTAAATAATCGAAACAAATTTTTAAAAAATTTTGAGCCATGCTGACGTTTAAAATTTTATAAAGATTATTACAAATTCATGAATGACTAAACTAATATATCGCATGTTAATTCACATATTTATTTTTATTTATAAACATTCTTTGACCTGAATTTTTCTATTTTTCAAAAGTTGATCTCGTTGCTTTATTTAACCATCTTCTTTAATATTATCTTATTCGCGTCTGACATATTTTTCTAAATTTTTTTATGTAAGAAAGAGATTTTCTTTCTCATTTTTTATTTTCTAACAAAAAAGCAAATAATCGGAACAAATTTTTAAAAAATTTTGATAGAATATCCATAAAACTAAATCTTAATTCGACATAAGCGAGGAAGCGAGAAAGATCAACGGGATCAAAGACGCAAGATGGTCCTTTCATCGTTTATTTTATATTGCAACATAAAATTTGTACAAATAATAATTCATTATACTATTATGTCATATCATATCAACTATAATGGATAATAATAATTAATGTACGAATTTTTCGCGTGGATGCACGCATACGTGCGCGAGACGCATACGCGCTATATAATTAATTAATATTGCGAGCGACCACGCACACACGCAAGCATGCGCGGCACGCGGTGCGTATCGGATCGTCGCGCGAGAGTTCGGCGATTTTTCCCGAAAAAAAAAGAGAAAAAATGGAAAAAAATTTTCCAGTTTGACGAAGACCCTCGATGAGGATCCAATATTCTATATCCTAGCATCCAACGCTCTTGTAGGCATTCGCTTCCGCTCGAGATTCCATTGTTCGCGACACGCATACGTTTTACATACAAGTATTCGTAGAGTGATGGACGACTTTTTAGCGAGATAAACCGGTCCGTGACTCTCGTTCATACAATCGCACACATGCACACTCACATCGAAAAAAGGGGAAGGGCCGTTATGTATATATATATAATATATATATATATTTTTTTTTAATGATTTAAAGAAACATTCTCTCATATTTACATCTACTTCGGCGAGCGACGAAGAAATTCTACAATTTAGCTGCTCGTCTTCGTTACAATTATTTCCTTAAAACATAACATTTTGCTTCTTTCTCCATAGCACGCATTACCCGTACATTCATACACGCACACGCATAATATATATATATATATATATATATATATATATATATATTATATATATATATATGTGTATATTTTTTCTCTCTTGTTACATCTTCCTCTTTGCTATGTATTATGTACAAAACCGCAACCTAATTCTCATTCTCTTCGCGCGTAAGGTAGCGAAAATCGATCGAACACGGTCTTGTTGGCGTTCTTGAAATTTATTAACCCTACATAGTATATACGCGTGTTTAACGTACATGTATCCTCTACGATTTCGTTGTGTGCAAAAATATGTCGACTACATTTTCTCCGTTCTTTTCCGCCTCTCCGCGACCTTCACCTTTCTGCGACTCCTACCCTCGTATATCGCGGCTAGAATTTACATTGCCCGACTCGCAGGAGTGCAACTATACAAGGGTGTGTATTCGCCTCCTTTAAGTAATTGTGCCGAGTAAATTCTCTCACGTCGATTCCAAATAACGGCATTCTCAAGACACGTAAAACGTGTGTAACGCTTGACTTTCGCTCTATGAAAGACATGGAAGTAGGAGATTTTCATCGGATTTTCGTGCATCGGTCATCGATAGAGAACGTAATATAGGACATAAAAGGACTACATATGTAAATCTAATAAATAACAGACGCTATAATGAATCAGATAAACCGAGAATAAGCGAAGGATGGTGCAAAAAAGGGAGATGGCGTATGTAATTGGTAAAATGCGATTCGACGTAAAAGACCGAGCGTGCAAGAGATAAAGTATTTTTGCATATAAAACGAAACATATTTCAATATTGGACAGCGTATTAGCGTTAGTGGAATGAAATTCGCGGTTGTAAAAAATGCATCAGAAAAAGGAAGAGAGAAAGAGGGACAGAGAGAAAGAGAAAGAGATAGAGAGATCGGGGCGAAAAGTGAAAAAGTAAAAATGCCCGTTGGGACAACGCAGTAAATAACTTGACCGACGTCATGCTTGATAAATACAATCCTATTTCATTAGCGATGAAGATTACATTACGTCCAACAAGACTCGTCACGATCGCGTTATACGTGCAACACGACATCGTGTTTCGGTGGAGTCACACTTAAAGTATTTCTGTTCCTAATCGCGCTCTTATACGTCGTGGTACACGAGACTTAATGGCCGAACGTGCAATCGCAACGAGATGCGATCACGATGTCTCCGAGATTGCATTACGAGCAAATGAGATCAACAAACGATGCGCGAGCGAACGGTGCGGACAAGGGTGTTTTCTGCTCCCGCGAACGTGAAAATATGTACGAAACAACGAGTAATTAGGTGAAGCCAGCTCTCACTCCCTCTCGGTGGAAATTTCTTATCCAAACAGGTGCTTTAAGATTTATCGCGTTAAAACATTCATAAAACTGCGACGCAGATGGGTAGCATCTGGCAGCCCAACTTCCCCTAACACTCTGTCCTGTTATACATATTTCCACGTTTAGCGCGAGCGAAGAAAGACGACGCTTTGCCGGCGTCCGATCGATGATACAAAGAATTAAAAAAAAAAAAAATGAAAAATGGGGGAGAAAAATTCAACAAAAAAGAGTACGTAATCTCTACACGTCGCATACAACTGTAAAACGAAGTGACGCGTAGAATATTCGCACGAACGTAAAAAAAAAAGAGGAGCATCTATACATTTAACAGCTACTGTTAGTGCGAAATATATTCAGGCTGAAACAGCGTGGTTCGTTGTCGCTTTCGTTTTTCTTTTTCACTTCTCAAGTTTCATCGCCCGCTTTCTCCCCGCGACTGCGAAGCGGCGAATACAATTGCAGACTATCGCATTTAATAACATCGCAGGTTCTCTTTTAAGTACCTTAGGATTTATTCGGAAATATTTACAGAGCTGTGATGTTCAGCTGTGATGAATGTTCAATACGCCCCCCGTGCAACGCAATAGTTCAGAAGACATCTGAGAGGAGATCTCTCTCGTCTCAGACATCTCTCAAACATTCGAATTGTCGATAACGTGGTGGATGACGTTTAAAATGATCGCTCATTTCAGCCCGATCAAAAACTATTCTCTCTGCGAAAAAATAAAAATAAAAGAATACATTTCTAACTTATAAACACTACGTCTAATACATACTTACAAAACCGACGGCATTAATCGCCTCGATTGATATATATATGTGTATATATATATATATATATATATATATATATATATATATATATATATATAATCTCTTTGATCACGAGAAACCGCGATCGCATGTCGTGAAGATGGCGTCACCCACAATCGTATATAAAAGTATAAAATGCATCGAATGCCGTATATCGTCACCGTAATCGTACAATTTTTGCGCGCCATTGGTTCGAGAGACTTCACCAATCTATCATTCTTGAAATCCGTTTATCTTTGCGTTTATACGTTTGTACGGCATTCTTTCTCTCGGCCGGAAATTGAAGTGCCTTAGCTTTTTAACATCATAACACATGAACTTGTGAACATACAGTCTTACGGAATGCACGTCCCTTATACAGATTCGCTTGATAAAAGAAAACGCAATTACGCCGAAAATACAAATAAATGCAATGAAATCACACGATAAAATGCAGGTAGAAAAATTTCGTTGTGGCTCGAGTGTTCAGGCTGATTAATTACATTAACGCATCGAATTCGGAATGGCAGTTATTTCGAGACCAACAGTATTGTTAAATATGGATACAAGTGCCGGATTCAAAGCGTTAATAATAATAATATTCAATCAGTCTCGAGCGATTAGACAGGCTGAATACGTTGCGATCTGTATGATAAAATTTGATTTCTCGAAGTATGTCAAAATAGCGCGGTTAATATTCAACAAAAATACACAGATAATAAAATTCAAATAATAAAATTTCTTAAAAAAGTTTTTCAATTATATCCCAGCAAACAAGTAACAGTGATATAACTGTTAGTTATAATTTCCCACTCAACAATATAACTGTTACATAACAAATATGTTATGTAACTGTTATATTGTTGAGTGGGAAATTACAACTAATAGTTATATAAATGTTACCTGGTGTTTACTGGAATAGACTTATTATATAGCAAAAGTCGATAAATTAAACGGACAAAGAAGAGCAATGTTTCGCACAAGATGATACATCGCCCTCATTGTCGATAGTTGATAATTTCTCTCGGGAGATCGTATCGTTGATCAGTTCATTCCCGACACACGCATAACACGTCTATAATTATTGCATTCGATTTTTTTACACAATTCACTTTCACAATTGTTCCGACAGAATAATCACTCTGAGCGTCTGGACATTGTCGTTGTCGAGAAGTTTGTTGGACCCTTTGAACGATGATACCTCGTCCTCTTCGAGATTCTCGACGGTCGTATGCTCGCATCCTTCCGCCTCGGCTCTCTCCTCTCCCGGTGGATCGTCCTCTTGCTCCGCGCTTCCTTTCGCGAGTAACGATTCGTGGCGCGTTTCGCTCGTGTCGACTGCCGACTCTTCCAAAACAGTCAATTGAGCCGGATCGTCTTTGTCCTTGGAACATCCCACTTGCGGTCGTTCTCGCGTAATCGGATTCTGCGATGAGTTGGCGAGTAGTTTCCTGGAAGCGGAAGTATACCTCGCGGCAAATTCTGGAGATTTCTGATTACACGATCGACCTGTCAGCGGGGATGTCCTCGAAGGATCGTTTCGAGAAGGAAGGCGCAGGGAAGGACCGGGTGAGAACGGCAAATGCGATAGCCTCTCCGTGGCTTTGGAAGCGTCGAAATGAATTTCGGTTAGCGCCTTGATATCCACCGTACGGCCCTTCGTGTCGACTTCATCCGGACAGGCTTGCCCCTCCAAGGAAGACGGTCGTTCCAGTAGGCAACCTCCCTCGAATACGCGAGGATTTACGTCAGCGTCCACTTTTAACGTTTCTCCTCGTGGCAGAGACGCAGCCTCATCAAGCATCTTCGTTGCACTGTCATTGTTATAGTGCTCCTCCAACTGATCGATTGCTTCAGGAACCGCTTCTAATAGCCCGGAACGATCAACCCGTAACGGCACAGTGTGCGCGACGACGTCCTCCGCACCAGTGAGCACGCAAGGACGGGGACATGTCACGGGATCCGTCTCCGCGATCTCTAGTAATCCAGATTTGTCAACTCGTCGAACCGTCACCGGCGTTGGCACGCCGTCCAGATCAGTATACGTTACTCCGTGCCAATTTCTCGCGTAATAATCATCCGTGGTCAACGACGGACCACGTCCTAAACCTGCATCATACGCCGCGCGTTGAGGAAAATGATGCGGTGGACGCATCGGAAGACCCAGTTGCGGTGTCGCTGTCGTAGTTGACGGCACGACGGGTGTTCTCGTCGATGGTGGTACGGAAGGATTTTCAAGGACTATCTCCATACGATGACGATGTCGATGGCGATGATAGAGGTGCGGGTGATGCTGCGTCATCGTATGACAGGGGGCCTGCTGCTATAGCCAAGTGGTACGTGTGTTTCCGGCTCGTGAGCCGGTAGGCAGGTCTCAAACAATTATCTCCCTGATAATTCTACGCCTGTTTGGCGTGGAGTAGCCTGACTCTAGGCTCTCGTCGTACGAGAGGCTGACCTGTTGCGGCGGCTTCGTATCTTCATCGTAATTCTCTTGATACGGCAATCCCGACACATCATAAGGTGAATCTGTCAAGGATAAAGCGAACGATTAATATGAATACGAGCAAAATTGCGAGACTGCGGAAGTTGGCGATGGACGGGGAAAGCGGAAGGGCTCGAAACAAGCTTCTCTAAGAATGGAGAAAGTATCGCCAAGCAATGCAGTGTAGCCGCGGAAGATCGATGTAACGTACGATATAATCTATAACGCTGCAACCCGACACGCACACCGGTAATATAGAGACTGTCATTAGAAGCTAGGCCCTGGGACGAGGGAAGTCACGTCAAACGATCGTAAGGCTAATACTGACCAACATGTTTCTGAGACTTGACGACGGTGGCAAAGGGCTCCGAACAGAACTGCTGCCGACTTAGATTATGGCTCTCCCTATAATTCTCCCGTTGCGGAAGATAATGAGGATGCGTGGGGTAATCGGACTCCGTAGTGCCATATCCAGCAAGATCGTAGGGCTGATTAACGCCGTTTGCAGCGGTGGACTTCATCTGCCATATGGAGTCCTGCGAGTTCACCGAACCGCCATTGTTGGAATTTGAGTAACTGTTATCCATGTATCCCATATTCACGCCTGCGAAAAATCGATAAAAGATCATATAACAGCGTATACATATTTTCCAAGAATTTTCATCGAAATATAACGCGCAATGAAAAATCCTTTTTCTTTATATCTTGCGACGTTTACCATTGATGTTGTGATTAGGTTGATGATAACCGTATCCCGATTGAGAATAAGCGGGAGTCTTCGAGTCTTCCAATGCTAAGGCATGATCCAAACTATGTTCTAGAGCTTTATTCTCGGCATAGTAGGGTGGTGGTGGTTGCGTTTGTTGGCCATTACCTGCCACGAGACTCGGACGAACGCTGCAAAAATAAAGAACAGATGTGAGCTGCCTTCTTTTATTCAAGTCGTGCGAAGCAGCATGTCGTTTACGTCTTGTATTCTTTGTTCATAACGACAGATAGCTTTGAGCGAGATGAAAACTTACGCGTTCGAGTCCATCTCGTAATCTTTCGCTTTCGTCGCGTGTTTCCGCCGGCACCGGCAGAATAGCAACAGCAATGTTCCAAACAGTAGAAAAACTGCTCCGCTTACTATCAGTGCGATTAAAGTTGGCGTTGCAAGAGCACCGGCTTGCGCGATGTAGGATGGTCCAACTGCGAGAAGGAATAAGAAAATGGCTTGAATTCAAGAAAGTCGTTCCAAAAGTACACTCGCTAAAATTAATTTGTTCCAACTTAAATTACTACATTATTTTAGAATTACAGGACGTAATTAATGGAAGAAATATTCATTAAGAGGATTAAGATTCAATTTTTTTATCAATTAAACATTTCGTCCTTTTTAACTTCCAACGTTGTAAGATCTTGGCAAACGTACAAAGTATATAACATTATTTTAATCGATCAGGGCTAATAAACTATTTATAAACTATTATATAATCACATTTCTCTTTTCAAAGATAAACTTACTTTCGGCTTCCGCGTACTCGCCGCACTTCTGTCGATCCGCTTTGAGACAGAGTCTAATTCTGAGTCGAGGTTCCGAATCAGCTGCTTCAGGATCGTCCAATATTCCTTCTCTTTGAGTGGGTGCACTCCCGAGAACTTCGAGAGGCCACTCGTCTACGATTCTCCACGAACTATCGGAACCTCCGTCAAACTTCTCGATAGATGCCACTAATGCCAGACACGTGGCACCAACGTTAATGGCGAGTGTGCCGCTCTCCGGGTCGAAACTCACCCGTAGTGGCGTAGGTATTTTCGCTACCGCTGTAGTGGCGGTTACCTCGTCGGAATAATCGGAATGATTTTTAGTATTGTAGACCTTCACCTTGAAGGTATAAGTCTGGTGCTGCTCCAAGTTGGTCACGTTACACGGATTGGATCTACGACAATCGAGCTCGAGCCATTGGCCGGCCGGTCCACGAGGAGGCGCGCAATCCGGCGCTACTATCTCGTCACCACCGGCCACTCTTCTGTACGAAACAAAGTACTTTGTGATAGGCAGGCCGCCGTCGAAACCCAGTTGCCACAAAAGCGCGACGTACGTGGGTCCGATTTCCATGGCAGTGATATTTGTTGGTCTTTCCGGCGCTCCCTTCGGCTGTAATCTGATGGTAGACATGACGCTGCCTTGAGCATTGGCAGCGCGACAAGTGTAATCGCCGTAATCAGATTCGCGAATATTGGTCATTCTTAGGACGGATGTGTACACGTCATAGTTGTCGCTCGTGGTAGTGATTTCGTAGTGACCGTCGCTGGAGGAACCCTGAAGAGTCGCGACGTTGGTGCCAAAGCTCCACTGGAACTCGGGTTTTGGCCACGCTTGTACTTTACAAGCCACCTCGGCGGTTTCTCGGAGATTGTACGCCACCTTGCCATGCTGATGGAGCACTATTGGCTCGTGCTCCACCTTGAGCATCATCGTGGACTCGACTTTCTTCACTTCGTTCATGAAGACGCAGGTGTATTTGCCGCGATCGCCTGCCACGATTTCGTCCGTTTGCGGACGAGCGTGACCCAAAAAGCTCAACGTAGAATTTACGGTTACTACGTTGCCATGGCCCTCCGACGCCGTCGTAATTACTTTGTAGAGCCTCTCGTCGGCCGTTAATTCCTGATCGTCCTTCAACCAGTGCACGCTAGGCCGTGGCTTACCCTGTGCTACGCAGGATACTTGAAATGACGACTCGCCGACTCTGCGATAAGCAACAAGACGTTACATTATTAGAACGGAACATATATCTTGTTCTACCTGCAAAGAACTACTTCATTCTCTGAATCTCGGTGCATATCTCACGGAAGAAAAGTGCAGAAGAAACGTAGTTCCTAGATCCACAATTACGCTAACGTATTTTAAAATAACTGGGGGATTGAAGAGGCAAATAGATAAAAAAAAGGACCATGCAACTTGCAACAAAATTAATTATACTTGTGATTGTTATTAATAATGTCACGTATAAAATGCGTTATGATTAGAAGTTCTTTAAGAATATTAACAAAACAATTTTCCGAAAAACAAGAGATGATTCAGAATTAGTCATGTCACGTCTTTTTTTTTTTAGAAAATTTCAACTTTTCTTCCAACAAGATCAAGAAAAAGTTTAATGCAACATGGTCTTTTTGCACACATTCGTAATGTAATTACTTACTTTCTCGTGACGTGAGGCTGCAGTTTGGTGAGTATCTTCGGAGGCTGATGAACGGTGAGATTCACTGACGCGGATTCGCCAATGCCGATCTCGTTTACCGCGCTGCATTTGTACACCCCCTTCGCTGCCAAGGTGCACCGAGTCGATCTCATACTTGGGTCCCACAGGTATCGGTATTAGACCTACGCTGCTTTCACCCTCCTTCCACCACTTGTAAGTCGGCTCAGGGTAGCCGGCCGGGCTGGCCATACACGTGAGTATCACTCGAGAGCCTTCGACGGCGACCGGCGAGTCCGGAGTTACCCTGGCCGGACCAGGCTTGTGCCGTACCCGAATAGTAACAGTGGCGAATGCCGAATGATTCCTGCGTTCGCCACCGGTAGGATGGATCGTGTTCACCGCGCGACAAGTGTAATTACCGGCGTGCTCCGCCGTGACCCGGGTCAATCGAAGGATGGAGCCTTGCTGTCTGAATTCCGGCCGGCCATCTCGCAGCCACTCGATCACCGTGGGCGTCGGATTGGCGCTCACGTTGCAGTGAATGGTCACACTATCTTCCACGTCGGCCACTCGGAAAGTATTGCCCTCGATCGACACCGTAGGTGGATAGAGCACGTCCAGGCTCAACGAGGCATCGGTTCGCTTGCCTAGTCCATTGTCCGCCTGACAGGTGTACCTGCCGACGTCCTGCAAGGTCACCTTGGGTATCACGTGCATGAAATTGGTACCGATGAAACTCCCGTCCCGCCACCAGCGGATCATGCCGACCGTAGGCTTCGAGTCCACCTCGCACTTGAGAGTAGCGGTACCGTTCACCTCGACCTTGAGCGGATTCTCCGGGCCGACAGTCACGCGCGGGAAGTAGCTGACGTCGAGGGTCACCGAGGCGTCCAGGGTGTCGCCTTCGCGCATCGCCCGATTTCTTACGACGCACCGGAAGATCGCTCGATCGTCCTCCCGCGTTGGCTCCACCACCAGCGTCCTACCGGTGTGCAACAGTAGAGTGCTGTTGCCGCGGTACCACTTCACTTCCGGCTCGGGGCTACCGCCATAAGTGTTACACTTCAACTCGAGCTGCTGACCTTCCGTGGCCTGGGCGGAGGTGGGCGATATTGTTGGCGGACCCGGCGCCCTCAGCACCGTCAGGGTGATGTACTTTCTGTGAAGATCGGTACCGGTGCTGCTGACCTTAACTCTGCACTCGTACTTGCCGTTGTCGCGCTCGTAGGACACGTTCTTGATTTGCAAGTCGTAGCGGCCCTCCTCCAGACTCATGAACACCTTGTAGTTCGGCGACAGCGAGCGGTTCTCGATCGCCGCGTTGTCCAGGTTGTTGTTCGTATGGGTCAGCCAAAAGCACGTGACGTTCTCCCGCGGGGGCGGGAACCGACATTGCAACTGCACCGTCGAGCCCTCGTGCGTGTCCATCTGCGTCTCGTCGACGCGCGCATGAATGGGTGCTGAAGCAAAGAAGAAGCAAACTTGGTTGAAAATTCGACCGAAACTTTTCGAGATGAAAAAAATCGAGAAAAATTATACAGGGGTGTCGCATTTTAAAAGTTCCGCCCTCGTAACTTTTTTAATTTTGATTGTAGAAAAAAATGCTTCGGACAAAAGTTGTATGGCTTGAAGGGGGACTTAAGATGGTGTCGTTAGTTTGACAGTGAAGAGTCGCCTGAAGGTCACGCGAAGGTCACATCCGATTTTTTAAACGGGACACCCTATACGCTTTTGCATATTCTTATAGTTCATCTCGAGAACTTTCCAAAACACTATAATTAAGTTAGTTTTCATGAAGTACTTTCCGAGTTATGAGGCTTGAAATCATTTCTTAATTTTACATAAACCGTAAAATATCTAGTGAAATATTCATTTTTCGATTATCCTACCTTAATAGTTTTACGTAGAAAATAACGAGAGGAATCAATTGGTGTAAAGAAAACACAATTGTATCGAAGAAAAAATATGGAAGTGTCAATTGCGAATTACATATTTTTGCGAACGCACTATCAGCTTTGCGCGTGCTGTAGCAGCGTTAACGACCGATCGATCGGCGTGACGGTGACCCGATAACCCGGTGACCCGATGAGCAAATCGACCGCAAGAACGATGGGCGAGGATCGATCCGTCTCCTCTTTGGACTTTACACTCTTGGAGCGCGTACACGCGTTTTCCATTAAGACGACGGGGAATAAATTCGCGGCGCGAGTGCGTTAATACGATACAAATTACCTGTCGGGCGTCAACCTAGTTTTAGGTTCACCGACTCCAGGCGACGGGGTCGCGCCTTCTGCACAATTAACCGGCGAGCCGCGCTACCGTTTCGCAGCCGATTTTGTCGCCGTGTCATCCGATTGAAGCAAGTGGCTGGGAAATAACGCGCAGGCATTTGCCGGCGTGAAAAGCGTCGGATGTTCCTCGCATTTGCGAAATAATGAACACGCTCGAAAACGGTTCGTCGCCCGGTTACGGGCTCTCGCAGCTGCGTGAATTCCTTCTGTCTCTTTACGACAGCGGCGACGGTACCGTTATAGAGAATATCTCCGGGACGGCTCTCGCATTCTGCGAGAGAAATTGGGTTTACCCTGCCTCGTGTTTTCGTCGCGAGCCGTCCAATTAAAGCGCGAAGGATGACGGCCGTAAAGATTCATTTTAAAGGAACGAAGAAGAAGAAGAATTTTATATGTGTATATGTAAATGAATAATTTTTCAATTAATTCCATTTAATTTCTTCCGTCACGATGACGTATCAGATCAGATTTAATATCTGTATTCATAGAGAGAAACATCATTGTAACCATTGTGTATCGATAACAAATATTGAACAAGCTCGTTTCTACGTTTTTTCTTTTTTTTTTTTTTTTTTTTTTTTTTAAATTCTGTGTATATTAAAATAGGTTTCATAAAAAAAATCTATTACGTACGAATCTGTTATACGCGATAACCAATATATGTTATACGCGCGCAAAGTTTACAATAAAAGATAAAAAATGATATAATATGAAAAGCGATAACCGATAGGAAAAATTTCTTTCACTCCATTTGTAAATGAGTATTTAAAAATACATGCATCTCTGTTATATGTATATCTCTTTAAAGTTTGTTGCGTGTGTATGTAAAGTATTCAGGGCTTAAAAGTTTGTGTTGTTTGTTCCATCTTTATAAGAGAAACAAAAAAAATCCTGCGTCCTGCAACGCTGTTTGTGCGTTTTGCAACCAACCGTGGAAACAACACGTCATTCTCATCCATTCCTCTCTACCATATTGTACATTTGTTTAGCAAATATAAATGGTACGAAATTTCGGTAATTCTTCATGCAAATTAAGAGGGACACACGCGCACAGAGTCCAGTTTTAATTTTAAAGAGAAACTTAAGAGCGATCGACAGTAAGAACAATATGACAGCAAAATGATGGATATTTAAATAATTTCCATGATAAATTCAATTATAATTACTTCAACTTTGGAGAGACACTTTGATAAACATTTAATGATCCAATGTCTCACATATGACCAATTTATGCAAAATAAATTTATAAATCTCCTTTTCAGAGAGAGATTAATCTGTCTATATTTTAGAGAAAAATAATCTCTCAATTAATCGATAAAAAATATTGTATACATGAGAGGAAAGAGATGATTATACATAAATAAATAAATAAATAATGTATATATAGTACATATAATACAATACATTAAAATATTAGAATATAATTTATATTATATTAAAATATTAATAATGTCGAGGTTTTTAATATAATTTTCCGATTTATCTATATTTTAGAGAAAAATAATCTTTCAATTAATTGAAGAAAAATATAAATGAAAGAAGATATATATTATAAGTTAATATATACATACTAATATATATTGTATTATGATATTAATACGTCCTGGTTTTTAATATAATTTTCCGATCTGTCTATATTTGAGAGAAAAATAGTTTTTAAATTAATCGATGAAAAATATAGAGATGAGAGAAAAAAATGCATAATATATATTAATATATATATGTATTGTATGATATTATGATATTAATAACATGGAAATTTTTCTAATATGATTTGCATCGTCTAAACGATCTCCACTGTTATAAAAATCGATTTTCCTATGATAGCATCATGGCGGTTCACTATCGTAACGTAACATCGAATGTCGACACAAATCATTGCGAAAATCGAATATCACAGCGCGGTGACGTTGAAAACTAATAGTTCCCCGCAATGTCGTGACCACAAATGTCGCGAATATTTATAGTTGACTTGACCAGTGTTGGTTAACACTAACCAAAGTTAACCAAATGCTCCGTCTAAATCGCAGTCACGATTATGATTTACGAAAAAAAAAGGATCATACACGGAAGTTACGGAACCAGCTGTCTGTTCGACTGCACCCCCAGAGGCTCGTGATATTCAACAATGAAGCTCATGACGTACATTGCAAGCGTACGTCTTGTCATGGTTTCGTATATTCAAATGGGAACCCTATGAACCACTCGAGTTCGTCTGTATGTCTGTCTGTCTCGGACCTATCCTGCTCTGCCACTCGCAAGCTTACCTATTCAGAGCCGGAATTTTCAGGTTCATCATGAATAAGAATACGCCGTACACTGAATATTCCGAAGCTAATAATACGAAGAAAGAAACGGGAACGATGGCGTAAAAGGAAGCGCGCATTCTCCAGAATTATCGAGGATTTAACGAAAAGCGAATACGTGGAGAAACGCAAAATTTCCCGGAATAATGGAACAGGATACTAAAGGGATCGGATATTTAATGGGTATCGAAATTTTCTCCGAAGACGAGCCATCGAAAGGGGAAAATTATCGAAATTCTTTTAATGAATTCGAAATGAACGTTTGACCTCGCGTGCCTCCGGAGGTGTAAAGTGGAACTTTCTCGCGTCAACGAACCCATCTACGCATTCACGTTATACCGTACTATCGGTTACGAGGCACCGTCGAACGTGGTGGAAAGCAGCCACGTATCTCTCTCCCGTCATTGGGTCACGTAACGGTAAAACCGCCGGTCGACTCGACTTGTCAACCTGCTGCCGAGGATCCTCTCCTGCCATTCTGTTTGGAAATGTCAGGGATACGTCTTACATCTCATCGTGTACGAATCTGCGTCGAATTTGTATCTCGATGCCACCCTTTTCGATTTATATTCGCCCACGCGTTTGATTGCTCGTACGTTTTTTTTCCTTCAACCCATCCGTCCACCCATCAGCCGACACTTTGTCGAGTCGACGAATTCGCTCTCTTCTGTATCCGTTCACCGTGAAACGCGCGCGTTGTCCTATTTATTTTCCTTCAGCGATCTTTATGCACGCTCCATTTTTCGCGGAAACCTCCTCTCTTCCTCTTCCGGCTGACGTTCGGCCCTAAAGGTGCGAACTCTGATTCTCGCGGCTTCCCCAAGAAAGCGCCATTAAGATATTACATTCTTATATATGGATAAGTTTTAGCAGCTCGCTGAGATTTTTAGACGAAGGGAAATTTCGCCAAACTTTCGCAAGGACAGGTATATTCGGAATATGACCTAAGAATGAAAAATAGAGTCCTTTCTACTCTCCTTGTTTTGCAAAACGAATCTGAAAATAAGATTCTGTCCTCGTTATATATTAAATGCTAAATGTGAAAAGTCATATTTATAATTTTCTGCAGAGAAACTTTGTCATTCAACATTATTATTTTGGCACAGTAGAGCAGAATTGCAGTTTTAGTTGACACAAATCTATTTCAAAAATGAAACGCCACAATTATTTAGCAGTAATAAATTATTACTAAAATAGAGCGAGCATTGATTTCACTGAGCTAACGTTAAAATTCCATTTAACGCTATCGGAAATATTTTCCGCAAGTTTTACAAAGTTACTGAAGAGGAGAAAAATGAAGAAAGTTGATTTCGCGAAACATCAAGGGAGGTTTGGAAAATTTCATCCTTTATTGACCTTTAACGTTGTTCTTTGAAAAATTCGTACGTTCTAAAATCTAGACTTCGAAATGGCTTCAAACCGATATAAATATCTAATGGGTCGTGTTTGTGAAAAAGCGCGATTTTTTCGCGCGACGATCCACAGATGGTCCGAAACTGGTTTTTCGTCTCTCCCTTCGATGCTTCCAGGCCAGACCTCTTTACACCTTTATCAACGTTGCATATTTCCTCGCTTCGTCGATCGCAAGTTACTACAATTTGTCATCGTAAAGTCGCTCTCGGAGCGACTTTTAAGTCGTTATGCTCGCTCCATGAGCGAATGAATCGCGTTGCTTGGCTCAAAATCAACTTTCCGCGCTAGATTATTCCGCTCTGTTCTACATTTCTTTCAAAGAGAGACTCTTACTTTTGCTTAAATCTATTTCTAACCAGGTTTCGTTCAAAGGACGCTTGGCTCTCTTTGCGTGCGATACGCGTTGCGTGCGTAAAATATTTTCGCGACAAGATACGGTCGTTAGGAAGA